CTACTGCCAGTAGATGGGGCCACGTCTTTTTATGAAAGCTCATCGCACCCAGTGCTGGGGTTATATTTAGGCTCAAAAATAAAAAAGATCTTAACACCATCAGGACAGATACTTGGAGTAACAACTACTTTAGTTGTTGATAAAGGCCTGTAACGTGACTATATGCACCTTTAACATTGCTGTCTTAAATGTTATTTTATGAGGTAACTCAAGGAACTTAACCTTAGAAAAGTGCTTTTCCCCACATACTTGCTACTATTAAGGTAGTACCTTCCATGTATTATTGTTCCGTTAAAAAAATAAAATAAAAATCAGCTGTTCAGATCAACCAAATTAAATAGATTTGATTGTCCCTCAAGTACATTTCTATATATATTAAAAAAACACACCAAAGCATTTTGTTTTGGTCAATGGTGCAAATATCAGTAAGCAAAGACTGCAATTGCTTAGGGGCCCCCAACCTCTAAAGGGCCCCATCACTGACTACTGGTAGTCCCCCTTCGCACACTACAAAAACAGTCTTGAAATAAGTTAAAAAAAAATCTTGAATGAAATGTATTTACCCTTAATTTAAATAGGTAAATAAGATATTTTGCCAATGAAATTAGCGTTTTTTTCTCTCAAAATAAGATAATTAGATAGTATGCACTTGAAATAAGAAAATGTAATTTCTTTTTTCTTATTTTAAATGTAAATTGTCTTGTTCCATTGGCAAAGTGTCTCACGTACCTCCTCAATTAAAGACAAACTCCACTTATTTTAATGACTTATTTAGATTTATTTTTTTGCAGTGTAATTTTGGACCAGGACATCTCTTTACAGATGTAATGGTGCAAAATATTCCCCACTATCACACTTGATGGTAGAATAGGCTAACCGGACCTTATTTACACCCCAAGATGTACCAGATTTCAACATGATGGTGAGCCGTTTAAACGTGACACCAATAGCAAAGCAGACAGTGGTACTTGTAATAACTATGTGAATAACTGTGTATAGTTCATTAGACGGTTGGTAAAAATTACACTCATATAATATGTTTCAAACACACAATAAAGATCTTAAAGGAAAAATGTATTTGAGTATTTTATTTTTACACTACCATTTGGAATTATGGGCAATGGGGGGAATGGGGTGTTTTACTTTATATGGCGCCCACCCAGATAATGTTGCTTAGGGGCCTATTGTTGTGTCGTTAGGCCATTGGGTTTGGTGCCTTATCACCACAACCAAAGCTGGTCACAATCTAGAGTTTATTCAATACAAATGTCTGTAAGAACAGCTTAAATTAAACAGTGTTCCCATCTCTGTGAATGAATCAAAGGGGAGTCCTGATGCGTTTTTACCATGAATAAAAAAGATATACTAGATACCCTGTCCCGAACAGAGAAATAAAAGTAGCCGCAAACCTATCCCCTACCGCTTTTTTCTCATCTTAATGAAACTCCACAAACAAAAAAAGTGTGCTTTTCCCTTTAAGGAGCCCCCACCATTTGCAGAACGGAGGGAGGAGGAGCAGGTCAGCGGAACAGCGACTGAGAAGTAGAAAAAAAAAAAAATCCAATAGCGGACGGTTTCAAGTCCCCCCAGTAGAAACTGTGCCTGATTTGTGGCCAATGTTGGAGATGTAAAAAAAAAAAAAAAAAAAAAAAAAGAGCGAGAGAGAGGAAAGGAGGGAGGGAGGGAGAGGAGGGAGAAGGAGGAGGATGGGGAGGAGGGAGGAGGAGGGGGAGGAGGAGAAGAGGAGGAGGGGGGGAGGAAAAACACTAAAGGGGTAGCTATGGAGATGGAGCGTTTTCCTGGCTGCTTTCTTTGACAGGTGTTGAGTGGGGCAAAAGTCTTAAAACAGAATTCAGCATGTACGCCAAAGGTAAAGGAGCTGTCGTCCCTTCTGATAGCCAAGCGAGAGAAAAGTAAGTGGATTGTGTTGCTTTATTCTGAGAGTTTTTACCTGCTTATCCATGCGGGCGAAGGGACAGCTGAGGGGCGCACAACTTTCTAAACTAGGCAGCGTAATTTAAAAGGAGTGAGCAGGAGGAAAGTGCGCTCCTCCTCAACTCCACCGACCACCTTGGAGGTGCGTCTCCTAAACGTTTTCATTTAAAACGCGCGTGTAATTATGCGCCTTTTATTGTCTAACAATGTGAGCAAACACCTCTGTGAGTTGATAGCGGGTATTTGGATATTATCTATCTATTTGGTTATTTATATCGTGCGCTTGTGAGGCGGTAAAAGTTGAGGAGACATTTTCGTGGGGGTAAACGCACCCTGGATGCAGGGCTGCTCGCTTGTGTCTGAGTGAAACTTTCAGGGAGGAAGACCCTGGATGTTTTGGGTGGTTTTTAGTGCTCTTTTTAGTGGCTTAAAGCTCTCCGGCTGTGCGCTCTTTTGGTGCGTAAAACGCGGGGCGCAGGCACCTCAGGCTGCAAGAGGGGGAAGCTCTGTCCCGTCCAACAAGCATACAACGGTGCTTAACTTTTAAACTGGAAAACACTGATTTTATCACAAAGGAAAACTTTATTCCAGACAAAGCAGATTAAAAGACAAACTCTATTTGGGGTTTTTAGTTGTTTCATTTTACTATCTTTTTTTTTGGAGCGCGTTTTTTTGGGGGGTTATTCTGAGCAACTTTTAAATGTCTCATTCCGAACAGAGTGGTGTCTGCCTTTTTCACTGCTTAGCTTCATAGGACTAAAAAAAAAGTTTTTTTTCTTTAGACAAACCTTTAGAGGGTCCTCTGGGTGCTGTTTTATCACCATTAGTTCTCCTGTTTTTACGCACCGAACGCTGCTCGTTTGTGGAGCAGCGAGCCGGGCTCCCCGTGGAGATGCAGATGTAATCCCTGAAACAATGTCAAGTCCTGGGAGGCTGTGCTGCTCCACGATGCCCGTCATACATCTGGAATGGAATCAAAACTTATTTTGAGTCTCCCATTTATGTTTTGGTAGATCCCCCTAATTAGGATTTTCAGGGAGTCTCTTATGCGCTTTTGGATGCTTCCTAGAATTAGACTTACTGCACATCTGCTTATAGGGAGCGTTTGATTTCAGTTTAGTTTTACCTTACTTTGTTTCGCCTATATGTGTTTATGTGTTGATGCGGAGGAGTGAATCCTAAATGAAAACAGTCCCATGTGGGTTTATGAGCAGCAGCAGGCAGGCTGACCTTTGAACCAGCATATGATGCTTTAATATTGCATATGAAGCACCAGCATCTCCGTTTACACCTGTTTGTGGAGCCTGGGTTATTAACAGCATGGTGAAAAGCTATATATAATTTAAATGATGTGTCTTTAGTTAGTTTTTAGTTGCACTGCTTGTTTCGGGGGACTGTGGATCATGTTTCATGTGTCACTGGGAGTGAAATCAGTGCAGAGACAGCGTGTATTTCAAATGATAATGTGGGAGAAGGATTAATTATTTAAAACAAAAACTACAATCTTTTGAGAAAAGCAGCAAAGATGAATGGATTTGAATCAAGGATGTTTAACTAGGAAAACTAGAGAACATCTTGTTTATTGTTTGTCCATCTGTTTTCTTGAATAAATATGCATCTATAACAACTTGTCTTTAATATCTTAGAATCCTCTCCAGTTTTTGAAATTGTGTGCAATTTTATGCAAAACTGTGAGCACCCTAAACTTTTTCCCATTGCCACAATACAACCATCAGATATTTTTTAAGGATTTTTTTTTTTGGAACTTTAAAATCGAATGAGCTTATAACACGGTTTTCAGTGTTTTATAAAGTTTGAAAGGCATGAAATACATGTTTACAATTTGTTATTTTAAGCTTTCCAACATATTTTTCAAGAATGGACTTTGACTAGGCCGTTGTTAGACTGGAATATAATTCAATCTAGTGTTTTAGCACTGGGAGCTATCACTGTCCTGCTAGCAGGTAAATTTCCTGCCCAGTCTCCGCACCAAATCTGATCAGCTTCCCTTAAACTGCGGAGGAAAGGCATCTTCACAGCCTAATGCAGTCACTGACACTCCTCTGTTCAGGCTATTTAGAAATGTTTCTCTCCCATATTGCATTTGTTATGTGAGCCAGAAAGTTCAGCATTGTGATCTGGTCTAAATGTTATAACCATTAGACTTTTAGCAACAGTTACTGTGGTTTTATTTCAGCAACAATTTGCCTTGTCACTATTATTTTAAAAAAGTCCCAGATTTATAGCAAGTGTGGCCAAAAGTTGTGATGACAACAGATGCTTCTACCTGAGCTGTGGATCTCTGCAGCTCCCCCAGAGGTACCATCTGTGCTCTACATTGTCATTTTAGCATTTCAACAACACTCTTCACTATGTAGATGATGTGTTGAAGAATGCTTTAGGAACCTAACTGTGTGTTAGATTTCTCCACCAATTAGTGCATTCCCAGGTCCTGGAGTGATTTGTATTTCTGGGTTTGTTCTTAATGAAGTTAAAATTAGGGCTGAAACAATCAGATTAATCAGGATTAATTGATTATTGAAATAATCGCCAACTAATTTAGTAATTTATTATTTGTTAACTGGAGTATAGAGACTGTAAACCATGCCTTTAGCTGACAGAGCGACCCACTTAGAGCAGTAATTATACCAAAATTGTTTAAAAAAAATATCTAAACACACCAAAAAAACTTTTTCATTTGTCAAAATCTTTTATCCAGAACTCCTCAGGTGGCACAGTTGTAGTTTCACCAGGTTTAATTTATAAAAAATCTTCTTAAAGTAACCTTAGGCTATCCGATTATCAATCAATTAATCAAAAAAAATATTCGACAGATTAATCGATTTGCAAAATAATTGTTTGTTGCAGCTCTAGTGAAAATACACAACTCCCTTTTACTAGCCAACAGTGGTCGATCATTCTGGATATTAATCATGAGCATCAGAGTAAAGGAGGTTGACTTTAAAGCCACACTTTTCAGATTTTTATTCATAAAATTATATGTGGAATCCATGTACCATTTCCTCCCACTTCACTACGATATACTTTTTATTCACCCATCACATAAAATTGACAAAATACATTAAAGGTTGTGGTTTATCTTCACAAAATGTGGAATGAGTAGACATTTTCCAAGCACACACTGATCAGCAGGTAATGTCCACACATAACAGACGAGGCTTACCCTCTCTCCTCACCTTTCTTGTCCCCCTAACTCACCCCGCAGGGCTAACACATGTTCCCTTGTAACCATGGAGGTCCTAACAGCGTTCTCAGTGAATTATCATATTCATATATACATATTCATTCAACTCTTTACATATAAGCCTAATGAAAAAGAAGGTACTCCAGATGGACGCATATTCCATTAAAGGAGGAGTTTGGCATCAGAGCTGCAGATCCTGCTGTGAGGATTTATCTTCAAGTCTTTCTAATTTGATAACGTATAAAAAAAAGTTTATGGCATGAAGCTGACCTGAGATCAGAATGCAAAGGTAAGCTAGAAATACAGTGCAAGTGCTGCACCAACATGTTTGTCTTGGTGTTGTTTTAATGAAGAACAGGTGATGCAATGTTTCAGCTGTAAAGGAAAAACTTGTTGACATCAACAAGCCAAATTATTAGAGTAGAGAAATATTTTGCTTGCACAGCTAGAGACTCAGCCCAACATGGGTGTAGACAGAACATATAAGTTACTCTAGAGCATAAATGTTTTATAGAAAAAACTTGTAGGATGAAATATTAATGGTTATGTCTATAAACGTTTGAATAAACTGCCTCCCTGTGTTGCTCTTGCAGTGCAACATAAGCTAATTTTCTTAGATTTAAATCAGAAAGAGGAGCTGTTAACTTCATTCAGTGATTTTTGTTAATGCAAATGTGCAGCCATTGTGAGCAGCTGCCTTCCAGGAATTTATCTTAACTTCTTATATTTTCAGACCACTACTTTGATGGTTTCTTGAAATTATATTTTTAGTTTTGTCTCCAGATAAAGAGCATGATTAGCGTACAGTATGTGATCTCGCTCAGAGTTTTAGTGCTGCTTTTTTTGTTTTGGTTTTGTTTTAGTAACCAAGGCTCCCCCCAGGAACAATGCTTTATTTCAGGTATGCGTTGTAAGGTCAGTGTACTTGTTGGTATTTTGCAGGGAATCTGTTGTGTTCATGTATGAAGTGGAAGATCCTGGAACTAAAATACAAAAATTATATGTTTTAGGGTGTGGATCTCAGGCTTACTGTACATAATGTTCTTAAGTGTGTACGGGATGAAGTGCTGTACAGTACAGGGTGAAAAAAAAAATCTTGTAAAATGCTGAAGCCAAGTTTTGGTTTTGTTCATAATAACAACATAACACAGACAGGCTTTCAAAATACTAAATAGATTCATTTAAAGGCCTTGCCATATAATACAAGTGGTTAGGAAGAACTGCTTCATAAAGTCATTTAAATTCACTGTTATTCGACTTTTTTCTCTTACCGTTTTAATCAGCACTAATCATTATCAGGCAAGATTTCCTTGTGTTGCTCTGATCAATGACCTGTGACTAAATTGCTGCAAATTAAGACTTTTCTTACCATTTATCTAATACATCCAAACATAGAATTAAAACTGCTTTCAGTCTAAATGAATGAATAATCATCATAAATCATTATCATTTCTTATTAATGGGAGTTTTGGCCTAGTGGTCAGAGGAGTGTGGTTGTGCTCTGAGAAGGTTGCAAATACCCGGTTCGATCCCGACAGCCTGCAATCTGGGTTCCTGAGCAAGACCCTTAACCCCACACTGCTCCCTGAGTGCCACACAATGGCAGCCCACTGCTCCTCAAGGGGGTGGGTTAAATGCAGAGAGGGAATTTCCCCATTGTGGGACAATAAAGGGATTTATATTTACATTTACATCTGGATTTTGGTTTCTTATAAATGTGCATAAATGATGATGATATTATATCTGCTTTATTTTCTATTGGATGCAGAGCTG